ACCGAGGGCGGACCTCGCTAGAAACGGGGCAGGAGCCGGACCGAGGGCGGACCTCGCTAGAAACGGGGCAGGAGCCGGACCGAGGGCGGACCTCGGTATGAACGGGGCAGAAGCCAGACCGAGGGCGGACCTCGGTATGAACGGGGCAGGAGCCAGACCGAGGGCGGACCTCGCTACAAACTGGGCAGGAGCCGGACTGAGGGTGGACCTCGCTATGAACAACAGGGCAGGAGCCGGACCGAGGGCGGACCTTGCTACAAACAACGGGGCAGGCAGCTGGACCGAGGGCGGACCTCGCTACGAACAACGGGGCAGGCAGCTGGACCGAGGGCGGACCTCGGTATGAATGGGGCAGGAGCCGGACCGAGGGCGGACCTCGGTATGAATGGGGCAGGAGCCGGACCGAGGGCGGACCTCTCTACAAACGGGGCAGGTGGACGTCACACAGTAATGGGAGGCACAGCCCCACAGAGGAGGAGAAGCCCTCCCAGATCCCACCACCTCCCAAAGCCTCAGCAAACACCCCACACACACAACTGTTCGGAGCTGCCTCTACAGGAGTGAGGTAGGGAGACCCTGGGCAGTGGTTTGGTGCTCACGGCAGAGAGTGACCAGAGACACACCACTCCCAACCCCCACACCCTGTGAACGTGCTGGGCTCCAGGGTCAGGGCTTGGGGGCAGGCAGGTGGCAGGAGGCATGAGGCCTGTAGTCAGCTGGCCCTAAGACAGGGAGATGATCCGGGGCCCCCGGCAGCCCAGTGGGATCCCGGGTCCTTAAAAGAGGGCGAGGAGGTGGAGGGGGTCCGAGTGACATCATGGAGGAAGCCCTCCAGCCCTGAGGGAGGACAGGCTGCCAGCCAGAGAATGCAAAAGGGAGGACATTCCCAGCCTGGCCCTCGAGAAGGGGCCGGCCCTGCAAAACCTGGGCTTTTGCTCAGTGAGGCCCAGGTGGAGCTTCTGGCCCACGCAACCATGGAAGCCACTAAGTCTGTGATCGGTCACAGCGGGAAACTAAGGCAGCACCATATGCTTCCATGCTGTGGCACCTTCGTGACCAGAAAGTCGCGGGTACGCAGGGACCGTGCCGGGCAGACGGGCTGGAAGCTGGAATGACAGACAAGATACTTTCCGTTTTCCACAGGGTGGCGAGATGGAAGTGGTTCTGAAGCCAGATGTTTGGCCCAAACCAGAGGCACAGAGGAAGCGGCCGGTGGCTTGCTACCAGCAGGTGGTCAGGGCCACAGGTCTCAACAGGTGCCACGACACAGACGCTGGGACTCATCCTGTCCCTCAGTGGCCTCCTGTCTGGATCAGCTCCCTTTCCTCTCATTACCCTGGCTGTGAAGAGCTGAGCTCTGTGGCCACCCCTCTCGCAGCCTGGATCCACCAGCGCTTCCCAGCCCGCGGACATCTCTGCTGGGTGCATATCACCCGTCCCCAAAGGGCCAAGTGCATCCTAAATGGGGCAGGAAGCCACACAGCAAGACTCTGTGCAGAGACCCCTCTGTGTTACTAAACACTGATCTCTGGATCCCTGAGAAGGGCTTGCCTAACAGTGAATTCCTAATCCTGGCATCCCGTGCAATCTGGAGAGGCTGAGAACTTCCCAAACCATCTCTTCACAAGTTCTTCTCTCAGTTTATTTTTTCTCCTTCGCTGTGCTGTCCACGGCTGGCTCTGCTCTGCCCACTGACCATACATCTCTGCAGGTGACAAGGCACCAAACACCAATCTGGCCGTAGACCACAGGCTTCACCATTACCCTTTCTTTTGTCTCTTCCTTACCCGCACATCCACACTCCTTCAGGCTGACCCAGAAACACGCCCCGTATCCATCCACGTCTCCCACCTGCCTCATCTGGGTCACGTGCAGTCAGGCGTGGGCTCCTGGAAGCCATGGGGGCCTCTGGAAAAACTGCCCCAGGTCCCATCACTTACGGGTAAAAGCTCCAATCACATCCTACTTCCCTGGTCATTCATTCACCTCGTAGCTTAGAGGCGCCTTCCCCAACCATCCAATCGGAGGTATGCTCCAGTCATTGTTTATTAGATCACCCTAAAATATGGTCTTCAGAGCGTTTATTACTAGCTGAAATTACCTTCTTTATTTACTATGTGCTTTTTGTTGCTAGACATCCTTTCACTAGAATGTAAGCCGCTTGAGAGTAGGGATCATGTTCCTCTATATTCTTCTTGTTCTCAGCTCCAACCCCAGAACTTACACAGAGCCTAACTGAGCATTGAAAGAGACGTGTGGACTGAATGGATGAACTCAGATACAGCCATTAAGTTCCAGGTTAATGCAGAGTTAGCCTAAAACGTTAGCATTTCACATGATTAACCTGTTAAGTGACACTTTTCCTGTGAAATCTAAAAACTGTTATCAGTGAAAGTGAGTTCAGGATAACAAAGCTGATAATTGTGGTGTAGTGGGGGCGATCAAATTATGGACTAATTTGAAAGAAAAATGTCTTATTTCTTTTTTTTAAGGAAAATGAGTTTTTAAGTTATATAAAACACAATTCTCCCAGTCTCTGTTAGGCCTCTTTGACACAAATACTGTTTGTGTAGAAAGAACCAGACAGGTTTCCTATGGCAACTCTATATAACCTCAAATTGTGCTCTCCGTAGTGGATGTTCATAAATGTAGCAGCTTATGTTTGAATGATAAATAATTGTCAGCAATTATAACTCTGACATTTACATAGCAATATATGTGGGTGGGCTTTTTCGCATAGTAAATGCATTTGACCTTCATGTAAGTAAATACTGGGTTTTAAAATTTGTATTTTTTTAATTATCTGCCAGAAGTACCCTTGACGTTGAACAAAAATATCCCAGACTGCTAGAAAGATGGCACAGCTTACCCAATGTTAGTATGAGGTTTAGAAAAACAGTGCACATGAGGGGCACGGACTCATCTGCTGTTTTTCATTTCTTCCCATCCTTTCTGTGCTGATTTTTTTATCTGGAGAGACTTCGCTTTTAAGCAATCATTTGATTTTCACTTTTTTTTAATTAATTAATTTATTTATTTGAGAGAGAGAGGATTTTCACTTTTACCTACAAGTGTACCAACTATGATAAAGTTTCATGACAACTCTAGAAATGAAGTGTTTTGATGTGCCAACAGGAGGGCCCTCAGTTCCCCAAGCACAGCAGTGAGGCCTTAAAAAAGCCATAAATGCAGGAAAAGGGGGGACATGGAGTTTCCCACACTCAGGGTCCCATGTGTGTGTCTACATGTGTATGTGTGTTTCTGGGTATGTCTGTGTGTGCATCTACATTTGTGTGTCTGGTCTGTGTATATGTCTTATAGGCTGGGTTACTGTAAATAAAATGCTCAATTTGCTAATAACCATATGTACTTCTAGTGACCAGGAAACAGTATCTTAAGTAGTTTATATAAACATGATGGTTTGTTACTTATATGCGGGTCTTTAGTGTGATTTTGACACACTTCAGGAAATTACTGGGGTTTTAGGTGGGTATGTAAATCATTATAGAGTTCCCACTTTAAGTAATGGAAAACAGGATCCCAGCTAGTTTTTTCATGTAGGAAGTCTGATTTTCAAGAATGGATCACCAATGTTAGATGTGGTATTTGTATATATCTCATAAAAGCTGGGACTTACAGAAAATCTTATTTGTGTTTAATTATCTCATTAATAAAGTCCGGTTTTTATTTCTAATGCCTTTTCAAGCTACACCAAATCGGACCTCACATGTGTGCCAATGATGAGGACTTCACGGTTCTTTGATCCCCAACCACAGCTCGAGTTCCCTGGACGATCACTGGATGGATGAAATCCCATGTTCTGTGGGGTCTGGGTGTATTTTAAAGGAGGTCAGTTTATTTCACCGGTAGATTGTCTTTTCTCAGCACTAATTGTTAACCTCATAAAAGTGCCTCTAAACTGTCTTGTTCATCTTGTTTGTTTGTGACGCTCTAAGACGTTAGAGTGATGAGCATGGCCATCAGTTTGTTGGGCAACACCGGAGCAGTTAACTTGCAAATGGACTTTCACCTGTCATTTTTGAAGTAGGTCAAAACTTTTAAGTACATATTTTCCACTTCAAAAACACTAAAAATGTTTTATGTGTAGGATTTTACTACTCCCTTTTCCACTTGCATGTACGGATCTTCTAGCTCCAAATAATATGAGATGCTTTCGGTTGTCACCCAATTTGCTAAAGGAAAAAAAAAACCCGAACTAGGAACAAAATCTTTACAGAGAGCACACAGTGAGCCTGGCTCTCATTCCTTTCTCAGTAACGGTAACCATACTTAACAACAGTTTGCTCTCCACATACTACCTTCAAAGCCATCTGACACGATGCTCCTGGGCACAATCTCGTGTGAACTCACCGGAGCCCCGGACACACTGGGGGCCTCCTGCTCTCAGGGTGTCAACAAAGGGCAGGCTTCGGTTCTCAGGGACCCCTCTCGCTTCCCCTCTGTTCCTTACGTTGAGGATCTGCAGTACTGCTGTGCCCACATTCTGGCTTTCACACGCAGTGCTTACCCTGGTCAGGACAAGAGCAGGGCTGGGCATCCTGAAGACGATTGATTCTAACCTCATCTGGGTAAGTTAATTTCTCCAAAGGTCAACTGTCTTGTATGAAGCATGCCGAGTGAAACTGGCCAATTGTGGATACCTACAAATCTATCAAGTACAGAACGCTCTATAGAGCATATAGAGACCGCATCTGCCCAGTGGAGTGAAGAAAGCGAGGAAGGATTCTCGGTTGGTGTAGTGGCCCATATAACAATTCAAAAGCATCCTTCACTGATTCCACAAATATTGACCAAACGTCAACCTCCTGAAAGGCCCATGCCAGGTGCCGGCAGTCTCTGGGCCAGAAGCCGCACCTGGAGAGGTGCCGGCGGAAAGAAGGCAGAAGCATAATAGTGTCCTTATCTCAAATGGGTGATCGGAGGACACTGACTCCTTCACAATGACATTAACCTGCACTCTAAGAATATCTGCACACCCAAAAGGTGATGGTCACAAAGTGAATGTAAAATCAGACAGTTACAAACACTAAAGACAACAAAAGCAAACCAGTCACACTCCACAGAGGAAAAGGAAGTGGGCAGAGACACCAGGGCCTCACTGAGCTGTTCAGCCGTAAAAAGTGCCACCTAACGTTGCTCAGGAAAGCTGCATGTGAAATAGAGACAGTCCAAGGGCTGAGATTTCAAAGGACGGCCAGATTCATTAGGCAGCAAATAAAAAGAGAGAAAACAGGAATGGCAGTACTAATTTTAGAAAAATGGAATCCAAGACAAAAAGCATTAAAGGCAACCAAGGCACCCTTTGGAAGTGACCGTGGGTATAGCAATCACCAAGAAAAATGTGACCCAGCAACTTTTATGTGCCCAATGTCCGAGCCTCAAAATGTTTAAGGCAAAATATACTAACAACAAAAGGAAAATTTACAGAAACAGTTTCTAAGAAATTTCAATAAGTCAAAATGTAATTAAGGACATATTATAAACCATATAAAATTATAAACTATGTATAAAAATCTGTACCCTGCAAATAGTGGATACAATATCTTTTTAAAGAATCCACTGAAAATCAGTAACAAGATCGTACAAAAGAGGCCACAGAGAAAAACCTCAAAATCTCCAGAAGGTAAAAACTGAACAGGTCACGTCTGACTAAAATGAAATAAAACTAGGCACCGATTTAAAGTTTAAAAACAACACATATATGGAAAACTGGACACTTACTCTTTCCAAAGGGTATAAAATTACAATTACAGAAAATGTAGAACATTTCTGACTGATATGTCAGTCAATCACAGGATGGTGCCAAATCTATGCTCAAAAGCTAATGCACAGACTTGTGTAACTTCATTACTTTTTTAAAATTGAATGAATAAAAACATGAACAAAACATTCAATTCAAGAAGTTTAAAAAAAAAAAATAGGTCTAGGGGCGCCTGGGTGGCTCAGTGGGTTAAGCATCTGCCTTCAGCTCAGGTCATGATCTCAGGGTCCAGAGATCAAGTCCCTCGTCGGGATCCCTGCTCAGCGGGGAATCTGCCCCTCCCCCTGCTTGTGCTCTCTCTCTCTCATACTCCCTCTCTCAATATAATAAATAAAATATTTAAAAAATAGGTCTAAAAAAAGAAGAAAAAACAATAGGTCTAAGGATAGTAGAAATAAGAAAATCCAAAGATAATTAATTTTAAAAATCATGTTAAAAATAGGGCACAAACTGAGGGCTGCTGGAGGGGAGTTGGGTGGGAAATGGGGTAACTGGGGGATGGACATTAAGGAGGGCACTTGATGTAATGAGCACTGGGTGTTTTATGCAACTGATGAATCACTGAATTCTACCTCTGAAACTTAAAAAAAAGTGGACAGTGCCTCATTTAAAAATAAATAAATACATTAAAAATGACAAGAGTGACAAGTATATGTACATTGAATGGTTTTTTTAAATTATAATATAATTCTAAATATCACACCATGTTAACAAACTTGGAAATCCTTATGAAAAGGATGACCATTCTCTGTAAAAATACAAATGCCTCAATTTCACACAATAGGAACTGTGAGCACATTTGACCAATAGTCTTGGAAGACAATGAAAGTGCTAAGAGATATATCTCAAAGGAAGATTATAAAAAATATGTACACCAGGAAATAATTTCAGTGCTAAAGAAAGTTTTGCAGAAATTTTGTGAAAAGAGGGAAAACCACTGTCTGTACCCTGACGGCAGTCTAACCGTGACCCCAGCTGCAGGGAGGGACAAAGCCCGGACGACAGCAGGGCCATGTGCCCCTGTCCTGGCTGCTGAGACGGTCCACCAGGCGGAGTGCCAACAGGAAACATGCGGAAGTGGGAGGTCTGAGTACTTGAACAGGACGTTATTTACAAAGGCACACATTTACAGATCTGGTGGAGAACCACCAGATCAGTAGGAGGGAGGAGGGAGGCGGTCATGGGATCAGACACCCTGCCCAGGTCCCGCTACCATCCTGATCCGCTCTGCCCTCTAAGCTGGGGTGAATCCCGCTGCCAACCCCAGCCTCCGCCTGAGGACACGGGGACCTAGTTGTGCAGACCAGAACTCCCATCCCTCAGAGGCCAGAGCCAGGAGCAGGAGGCACAGGAATCTGGGAATAGTCCATCAAGGCTTTCTGAAATGGGGCTCTGCTTTCAGAGCTGGGATGAGTGGTTTACTTAGGTTCAACCCTGTCAAAGACAGAAATTAAAAATCCAGCCTAGAGACGGCTAAGAGAATTCTGTTTTCATTAGCAACTGCACCGAGTGTCATCCATGGTACAGACCAAAAAAATATTTCTACAAAATAGGATAAATGAAAAGTTACTAACCTTAAATATAAAGGCTCTATACTGAAATAAAACAGAAAAATACAAAAAATACTTTTCATATGGACAAAGATCATGCATAGGAAATTCATATAGAAAATTCCAATCACAAATATGAATATTTTTAAACTTTTAATCTCACTTATTTAAAAAAACAAAGATAAGGTATCATTTTTCATACTAAAACTGGCAATCTTAAAAAATGACAATATTGATGCTGGGAAGAAGGTAGTCATCCAGGCGTCTGTTCAACGGCCTCACCTTGTGTGCAAATGCTGGTCTTTGGGTGATACCATGCTCTGGTCTCTCTCACCCCGGCCGTACAAGGAGTTAGTCTGTGCCCATGGTGGAGTTCAAGGTTATCTGGGATAGTGCGCTTCATGGTTAGTCAAGTTAAATCTTTACTCGGAAGGAAGAAGCAGTGGACAGCACTGAAATGCCCAGATGTAAAGACCAGTGCAGAGTAGGCAATCATCCAAAACAAAAACGGGAATTCGAGATAGCCTGGCTTTGGTTTTTTGTTGTTTTTTCTTGCAGAGAAGTCTTACACACACTCACAGACTATAACGGCATATTTTCTGACAGAGGAGGTGTTCAAGGTAGACAAGCTAGGCACAAGAAGTAGAAGGACATGATTCCTACCCTCAAGAAACTCACAGTCCAGCTGGTGAGAGAGCTAACATGGCGAATGCGTTTTCAGTGTGTCCAAGTCCCTCAGGTGTGTTCACTCACTTAACTCTCACTGGATTTGGAAATGAAATTCTTGGTGGCTTAGCCACTTCACTTATTAGAGGAACACAAGCTTAAGGCAGATGCCTATGTTTTTGTGTCACTGAGATTTTTCTAACTAAAGTTTCAGAATAGTTTCTCTCTTAGGGGGAAAAAAATGGGCCTTCCAAACTTCCCTAAGCCTTTGGGGAAGGCCCTTTTCACATTCTCTAAACTTGACGAATCTGGCACCATGGCTGAAGAATGAGACAAACCCACGTGGCTCCCTGTGGTCTGTCTTTGGACTGAGTCCAACTTCCCCACGTCTCGGCTCCCTTGCCTCCAAGAACAGGACACAGGCTTTAGGAAGCCCTCGATGCACGTAGTGAGGATGAAATGAGATGTCGCTGCTCAGCAGAGGCTGCTGTGTTCTGGCAACAGGAAAACTTTCACGACTGAATTCTGCTTTTTGTACTAAAGTGAACATAAATTCTTACTGGGAAATGAGAAATCTTGACTTTTCTGCTTTCAGCCAAGGTTCTGAAGATGCAGGGCTTTCCAAAGGTCTCGGGAAAGGGGGGGAAGGGCCACTGGGACGTCTGTCGTGAGGACGGCACCTGGCTTGAGGGTTGTGCCAACGCGTCTGGCGTCCCTGGGCTAGGACACGGTAGAGAAGGACTTTCCCACCCCCTGGACCCTCTACACCACAAACACAGTACGTTCAAACAAGAACAAGCTGGATGGATGTCGGCTGCGGCCAGAAAGCAGTCTGCTTACCTGGCTGTGTCGGAAGCTTCCAGATGCTGCGGGTAGGTGTGGGGAAGGGTTGAGAGTTCCTGGGCCATCACGTGCTGGGTGTAGTCGTCCTGCCACGTGAAGCCTGGGGAAAGTTGAAAAGCTGCATTATCAACCCAGAAGTTGAGCTAAAGGTCTTGTTTCAGTCTCAGGATAAACTGCTGCCATTTCAAAGTTTGCCCTCAATGCCATCAACAACCCATGGCTCCCTCTCACTGTGGTTTATTAATAAGGTCTTCTCCTTATAGAAGTCCCCATCTCCTGAGACCACTAGACCAGAAATAGGACAGACGCTTTGCCGGATGAGAAGCACGAGGCCTGGGGTGCCGCGGCTGGATGAAATGAGCTGTCGCCAGGTGCACATTTCACTTGGAAGAGGGATCTGTCCCCGTAAAAGATTCAGACTTTGTCACGGAAAGGTTCTGGTCACAGCAAAGACTTTCTTGACCCAGATGTGTGCACATTTACCCACCACTTGGCCACTAGCCTGCCTGCTCACTGCCACATCTCGGGCAATTCGTTCTAACTCCATCCTGCCGAAGAGCCACACAGTGGTAATGAAATAAGGGTATTGTCACTGTGAAGGCAATTATCACGGGGCTTAATGTGCTGTATCTGGGAGCCAATTACATTATATTTATACTCAAATGTTATGACAAAGAGCTTTATAACAAGAGCGAAGTAGTTATGAAGGCAAAATCCATGTGATTATGCATTAATTACATGCACTGCAGATCACATGATAATTATGCTCAGAATTACCAAATAACTCCCAAGAATAATTATTATGCAATTTGTACATTTTAGATCTTATGGTAACACTTTAGCACTTAGAACTACCCCATGCAATTATCCATAATTATCTAATCACTAAATATCATGTAATTACAGAGATATATTTTTATGCCCTGTTCAAAAACACATTACCAAAATCTTCACATCAGGACGGCTCCGTGCCTGTTTATGTGTGTGTGTGAGTGTGGTATAGGGAGTTCCAGAACTTGCTGAGAACCACACGTTCTGGGGAATAAAAAGTAGGGCTCAGCAGATATAAGCTGCCTTCATGAACACACTTGAATTCTTTTTTCAAATGCAAATCTAACTTTTTTTTTTCACACTTACAAATGGCAAGATTCAAACAGTTGGAACATTTCTAAATCTCAAAAGGCTCTATGGCATTACCCAAAAGAGAAGCTGATGGGGAAATTCACCAAGCAGGCCGGCCTCCTATGGCAAATTGTTCTAAGCTGCTCTGCATGAATATAGCATTTAGAGAATGGGTCACTGCAGGGACACCCACCCCACAGTCACTGTTACCCTTACTTTAGGATTAAGTGTACTTAATAATAAGCAAGAATCTTCCATTTGCCAAAAGTGACTAAAAAACCACCCATATGAAGTGTATGGCTTATGTGGCTGTTAACCATTGGTTCATTCCCAGGAGTATTCTCAATTGAAAGCACAGTTGCAATATTAGCATAATCCTAGCACTGTGGATTTAGAGAATAAGCATAGTTTAAACATGCCATTCCCAAAAGGGTGGTCTTAATATCTACCAGGAAACAAAAAAATCAAGAGCACAAAAGGAAGTGCGTATAAAAAACTTTCATCTGTAAAATTTAAAATAACAAAACATCAATAATATTTTTTTATCTAAAGAGCAGAAGAGTCTGAGCTGTGTTGATTCTGGGGTCTGTGAGGAGGACTCAGTCACAACAGTTGGCCAACTGATAGAAGTGTTATATACAGGCAATCTTAGGGGGACCCTGAACCCCTAGACTGGTTTCTAAGCTTTCCTGGGAGCAGGCAGAAACCGGGCACTTGGATATAAAAACCAAAGCAGTGCATACACTGGGGCTTAGACGTCCTCTCTGAACGCCTGTCCAAGGCATACTGGAGGAGCCAAAACCCCATGAAGAGAGGATCTGCTTCCAGGAAGACGGAGAAGATGTACGTTCCCCTACCCTGCCCGCCAGGCACAACTAAAACCCTGGAGATGGTATGCACAGAAGGCTCTGAAGGCACAGAAGGCAGGAGACAGGCTGCTGTGCTCCCAGGGAATCTGAGGAACCACACATGCAGGGTGCCCTGGGCTGTCCTCTGGCCTGTGCACCTCACACTGGAGCTGAGGCAGCAACCTGGGAGCACCAAGTGCAGGAGAAGCCCTGACTGAGGTCGCCTCTCCCCAGCCAGAGGGCCAGGAAGGGATTGACTTAGCACATTTTAGACAATAACAGCTCTCCTCCCATCAAACACCAGCAAAAAAACCATAGCCCACCCATACCCATGCTAACAAAGGCCAAGGGGGACCCTAGGCGTCCTCTCTTATGAAGCTGGAATGAGGCCCCTGACCTCCCCTGACCCTAGCAGGGTCAGGGGAGCAGTCAGGTAGGGAGTGGGTGGTATACCCACCCCCCATGTCAGACCCCCATAGAGACCACATGGGGAGTTCAAACTCCTACCACCTACCCTGCCCAGCATATGGACAAGATCCCCTCCCTCCGATGTCAGCAGAAATCTAGGGGGGAACCTGGATTTCCATCCCCATGTTAGTAACAGAGACCCCCCCCACACACACACCTTGGGAGAGCAGTGTCAGAAAAAGCTGTAAAACACAAGGCTTAAATGAGATCCAGAAGCTCATAATAGAATACTAAAATGTTCAGGTTTCAACAGAAAATCAGTTGTTATACCAAAGCTGGGAAGTTCTCAATCTGTAGCCACTAACACCGAGGCTGGAAGATGTTAGCGTTACCTGCCAAAGACTGTATAGCTTAATAAAACTGCTTCAGTGAACAATTATGAACATACTTGAAAGAAATGAAAAACTAGAAGGCTTAGCAAAGAAACAGAAAGTCTCAGCAAACAAATACAAAAAGAACCAAATGGAAATATTGTAACTGAAAAATACAATAACCAAAATAAGCAGCTCAAGCAGATGCACTAAATAGAAGGATGAGGGACAGAGGGAAAAACCTGTAAACTAGGAGAACAGAAATCACCCAATTCCAACAATAGAGAGAAAACAGTCTGAAAAAAAATATGGACAGAACCTCAGGGAGTGTGGGACTGTAACAAAAGATCTAACATTTATGTCATCAGAGTCCCAGAAGGGGAGACAAGGAAGGCAGGGCTGAAAGGGCATTCAGAAACATGATGGCTGAAAACTCAACTTTGGCAAGAGATAGAAACCTAAAGATTCACAGAGCTGAGGAAACAGGGTAAACTCAGTCTCCTCCAAGACACACAGGCAAACTTCTGAAAACTAAATGCAAAGAAAAAATCTTGACAGCAGCTAGAGAAAAATGACACCTTACCTATGAGGGAAACACAATCCAAAAGACAAAGGATTTCCGATCAGAAACCACAGAGGCCACAAGGAAATCACACAACTTTCTTCAAGTGCTGGAAGAAAGGAACCATCAGCCCCGAATCCTGAAAATCTACTAATCCAGATACCCATCAGAAATATCCTTTGGGGGGGCGCCTGGGTGGCTCAGTCAGTGAAGCATCTGCCTTCGGCTCAGGTCATGATCCCAGGGTCCTGGAATCGAGTCCCGCATCAGGCTCCCTGCTCAGTGGGAAGCCTGCTTCTCCCTCTCCCTCTCCCCTCCCCCAACTCATGCTCTCAGAAATAAATAAAATCTTTTAAAAAATTAATTGATTAAATGTCCAATATGTGCACTCTGCTATAATATGCACTTTGCAAGAAGCAAGATCACAATAGATATGGTCACACACCCAGAAAACCACCAACTCAGCACCAGACAGGAGGACGTCACCGACCTTTCTGATGTAAAACTTACTATTCACGGATATTTTATTTTACGCGATCTATAAATTTGACCATTAATGAAATACAACGTGAATCTATTTATCACTCTAGAAGGGGTGTCACTGGAACATTTCCACCTGCCACTATTTAGTTTTAAGATGGTAGAGAGAACACAAACAGAATGTAAAATTCATCTAGATCCCTTTTAGCAAATTCCATCAATGTTATCAGTCAATGCTAGACTATAAGCTTTATTAACAAAGAAAAACTGAACCAGAGTGTAGGCTACGTAAACTTGATTTCCATCTTGTGTGCGTGTGTGCGTGCACGCGCATGAGCCAGTGCGACTCAACACTTCCTATGTGCCACGTTCTCCTGCCAGAGACACTGCCACTTACTTGCGCCCATGAGTCCCAGGGGCTGAGGATGCAGCTCGTGGCCGCTTAGCTCGCTTTACCTCCACAGTCGGGCTGCTTTGCATCCTGGGCGTACAGACACAGAACTTCATATAAGATTGGAATTCGCTAAATATTTGGAAATAAATTGATAAAGTAGAGGGAGTCAGGAACATATTAGGCATTAGTTTTCCAATCTGTGAAGATCTGAGGGTGAAAAAAGACACAGTTCTTGCTCCCATTAAGGGACGTACATTCCCAAAGAGGGAGACCCAATAAACACAAACACACAATTAAATAAGATGTTGGTCTGTGGTAAGTGCTGTGAGGAAAGCAAACTGGTGATGGGTGAAGAAAGATAGGCAGCCGTAGACAGGTGAGCGTGGTGAACAGGGAGCGTGGTGGACAGGTGAGCATGGCACACAGGTGAGCACAGTGGGCAGGACTCACTAAGAAGAGGAGGAAAGGGGGTGGAGCAAGATGGCAGAGGAGCAGGAGACCCGGATTTCGTCTGGTCTCAGGAATTCAGCTGAATAGGGATCAAACCATTCTGAACACCTACGAACTCAACAGGAGATCGAAGAAAAGAATAGCAACAACTCTCTGAACAGAAAAGCTATCACTTTCTGGAAGGTAGGACGTGTGGAGAAGTGAATCCGAGGCGATATTCGGGAGGATAGACGGCGGGGGAGGGGGCCTCCGTCGGCCGCTTCTGGCGGGTGCTGGAGCCGCGGAGCACAAAATCGGAACTTTTGGAAGTCAGCTCCGCTGAGGGACGTCGCTCCAGTGGCTAAGCGGGGGGTGGAACCCTCGCGGGACAGTGTGGTCTCAGGACCCTCGGGGTCACAGAAAGACCGGGGGTGCCTGAGTGCGGCAGAGCTCCCAGGGATCGGAGCGGGGAAGCCAGCAGCAGAG